GAATCTTGGGATAATTGTGGACTTCGAAACCTCCTATGCATACCATAATGATCGAGTTCTTCGCGATCGATGCCAATTCTACCGGGTTTTTTGGACTTACCCACAGTGCGTTAATGTTGTCAAATATTGCAAGCATGTGGTCCAGATCGACGAGACTTTCTTGTATGGAAAAAACAAACAAGTATTATTATTGGCAATTGTCTAAGATGGCAATCGCAATATTCTTCCAGTTTCTTTTGCTCTTATTGAAGGAGAAGATACATATTCTTGGGTTTTTTTCCTCCAAAACTTACGTGCACATGTTATCACGAGGGAAAATATCTGTGTCATTTCAGATCGCGGAGCTGGGATCAAAGCAGCAATGGAGTTTTTGGGTCCAATGTGGCAACCACCATTTGTCCAACATAGGTATTGTCTCCAACATATTGCTGCGAACTACCTTGGAATGTAGAAGAAGAATGATGAGCGTCAATTAATTGTGCGCATGGGTAAGTGAAACTGAAGTAGTTTGTTTTCTTTCGATCATTTTAATTTTGCAAAGAAAACAAGTTAGTAAGTTATACATTTTTTGATCAGGTTACAAACTACTTCCTCAAACGTTTGAATCAATGCTTCAAGATTTACGTGCGAAAAACGGGGAATGATACAATTACATCAGCCTCATTGATAAAGAAATGTGGACAAACGCATATGATGGTGGATATCGATATGGAAACATGACGACCAACTTGGCTAAGGCAATCAATTCAACCTTAAAGGGTGCACGTCACTTACCTGTAGCGACTTTGGTAAAAAATACATATTTTTGTTTGGGGGGCGATTTTTGCGAAGCTCGGAGGACAAGCTCAAACCTGGATGCAATGCGGTCATGTCTATCACCCTAGATTAGTTGCAGATCTACAAAAACAATTGTTGCATCAAATGGAATGTCTGTAACAAGCTTCTCTAGAAGACATGAAATAATTCATGTCACAGAGTTGCCGCGGCCTCTTCAAGGGATTGAAGCTATGTCATTAAGAGTAAATCTACGGGATAGAACGTGCGACTGCGGGTTTTTTCAAGCTCTGAAGTATCCATTCTCTCATGTGATAGCAGCTTGCTTGCATACACGTCAAGACTATAATTGTTTTGTGGATCCCGTATACTTACTATCTAAAGTTTTTAAGGTATATGAATTTGAGTTCCCCCTATAGGTAATGGCAAAGACCCTGATGAGGTTCAGGATTGGCTTCCAATTGTACCAAATCCAACTTTATTGAGGGAGAGTGGTCGTCCAAAATCCAAGAATTCATTGTGATATGGATATTCGAGAAAGATCTAGACAAGACAGAAGGTGTGGGCATTGTAGAAACCTAGGACACACTAGAAAAACTTGTCCACTTCTGCTGCCATCAAGTAACAATAGATGAGGAACTGATGTAGTTGTTAAGAATTCTTGTACTTTAATTTGCATTTACTTCAAGTTAATATCATTCGATCTTACAATAAGTGACAAACTGAAGAAAGTTATCGAACACTCGTATTAAATTTTATCATAACAATAACAATTTGGTATTTGAATATAATTTTAAATACAACAAACTTACAATAAGTATTAAATGGTAAATCATAAACAAATTACAATAACTGATATTAAATGGTAATAAACAAAATTAACTAAAAAACATTAACAAAAAGTCCAACAAATTTAACAAAATAAATTAAAATAAATCCAACCAAATTAATGAAATAAAGTAAGTATTAAATGATAAATAATAAAAAAATTACAATAAAAAAGTCCAATAAACAACTAAATACAAATATAATAAAAAAACAAAATCTATCGATGCATGCGACACGAATGTGTTCCGCAGGGCGATGACTGTCGGTCTCGAGGAGGATTTCTTCGTATCAATGCTTGTGACTCCTCACTGTCATCACCATAATCGTCGTCGTCGTCATCATCATCATCGTCGTGAGCAACTACATTAGGTTGATGAGAAGCTGATGACGATGAAGACCTCCATAGAATAAGGACCCTGGAGGTGTATGACTGACTATCCCACCGGCCTCCGAAAATTGGGAAAACTCATAAAACCCAGACATTGCTGAGTGTGAAAACTGTACAAGAGGTGTCTGTGCTGCGACCATGGGTGATGAGGCTTAACCCGCCAAAATGTGTACAGGAGGTGTCGGATATGCAAACATAGACCCATAATATCCTCCAGAAGGGGTCATAAAACTCTGTGACGGTGGCGTCGGCAGCATCAAGTAAGGGAACGGCGATGGTGGCATCACATATGGCTATGGAAGGTAAGTCACTGTAGATGGTGGCTGCTGTGAAGGTCCTGCTGGTGTAGCTGAGGATGAACCGGAAGCACCTGCTCTCCGTCTAAGAGTCGGGGGACAATGGTGCTGTGTTGGTGAACGTCTCTGTCGACGTCGCTGAAAGGTTTACCCTTGTGCATCCTCAGAAAGCAGAAACGGTTTCCCGTTACTGTTGAACCACTCGTAATAACCGTCAGCAACCATCAAGAGGTCAGTAAAAATGGGCTCTCGGAAGGCACCGATATCGATCCTCTCACAGTACGACCCACTCGTGATGCCTCACCATCCAATCTGTATCGGTCTTGCTGCGTCTATCTGTGCTATGCAACTCGTCCATATTGCGAGGTGCTTCCGGAATTGGTTGAAAACAACCAAATTGCCGGAGCACGCAATCAGTGGAGTGTCACTCGACGATCGCATAACAAATCAAAGGGACCATCGCCATCCAAACATCTAATGGGCCCCTCAACTCAGGTGGGATCACCATCCTCACATCATCATTAGAATATGACACTCATTCAAACTAAAACAAATATATATATTTTTTATCAAAATAATAATCTAATTATACAACTATAATCTAAAATCGATTTTAAACATTAAAAGGCATACATGTGTGCTAGTCTTCTGATCGATTAACACCCTAATTTTTTTTAAATCATCAGGTAGCTCCTGATGATTTTTCCTATCAGTAGACCACCTATTCAAGGAAAACAAAATTTATTATATATTGTATAAAATGATTAATATACGAAATTAGTTTTATAATTACCTCAAGAGTAGCGGAAATACGAATGGGTTCTTGACAATGGGATATAAAAAGGGCAATCGATACCATGCCCAAGACTGTAGTAGCAGGAGACATCCGCCGATAGCATTTTTCTTGTAGTCAGTGGCTCGACACATCTCCATGTACAGGAAAGCCAAAACTGTCGAGCCCCAACTGAGTGATTTGGCCAAACGAAAGTCGCCAAGATGTCGCAACCACATACAGTGAACTTGGTTGCACGATTTGTCCGACATCAGCAACCCTCCTATCAGCTGCAGTATGCATGCTCGTGCATACATTTTAACTTCATCATCAAAGGCGTCCTCGCTCAACTCCCGAAAATTGACATCTAACCAATTTAACGGTATCCGACCACCGTTAAAACTTTCCAGGACACATCCTAGATAGTCCCGGCACAAAGCAGTCCATGAACCGTGCGTCATCCCCAATATCACATCTCCATCCATCGACGTCCCATGTGCATAGAAACATTCTCAAGTGTAATCGTGCACTCTCCACACGAAAGATGGAATGTGTGGGTCTCTGGCCTCCACCGCTCCATTAAGGCAGAAATAAGGTCTGATTCTATCTTACATTGACCCTCATATCTACCTATGTGACTGAATCCAACCTTTACTAAATACGACAAGACACAGCTAGGTATCACTAACTTAAGGTTCCTAATAAAATGATCTAATACACGGTCTCTCTCCTAAAATTAAATAATTACAAAAATTAATTTTTAAACTAATAATCATGCATTAAATAAATAAATTATTACTAAAAATTTAAATTATATTAAAACGTTAAAATGTTACCGTATCAGCAAAATGTCGCGATATATGATTTCCATCCAAGCGAAGTAGACCTCCTTCCATTTTATATATGCAAAAAAAATTAATTAAATAAAATATTAAAAAATTTAAATACTTAAATAAATTAAAAGAAAATATTAAATATAATAAAATATATCTTAAACAGTTAAAATAGAATATAAGAGTATTTGAGAGAAGTTGAGAGGATTTGGTGTGATGAAAGTGATTGTGAATAGGGATATTTATAGGGAGGGGATGGGGTGTGAACGGCCGGGGGTAGGTGGGTAATTAAACCTACTGACGCGTGTCAGATTTAAAGGTAAAGCGCGGCCCCTGCCCTGTGCTATACCCCACGTGGTGCCAGATCAGCGTAAAACGCGCTGTAGGGGGACGCGCCTTACTGCAAAGGGTGTTAGATCGAGAAAAATAGTCTGAAGGGTGTCTGACAGAGAAATATAAAGTCAAAGGGTGATATATAGGAAAAAACACCGTAAAAATGAAACGTCAGAAAATAAGAGAATAAGAAAACCCTAAATGATATAATATAATAATATATATTAAGCATTCCAGATTGGGTTGGGTCGGAGATTTTTATATTAAACCTAATTCCAACCCAAACCTGACTATTTTTCTCTCAAAATTCGACCTAAACCAAATCCGAATATTAAAGAAAAAATTCAACCCGATCAGATCGAAACCCATCGGACACGAATTATTTACCCATTTCTAATGTGTGTATTATCAATAACTATAAAAAATTCTGAATATATATTATCTTATAATTATATCATTATAAAAATAAACTCAAAAAATTCTCTTCAATGTTTAGTAAATAAATTATAATATATATATATATATTTTATTTTCAGAAAATATAAATTAATTTTGGATTTTTAAAGATACATGAACAAAAGATGAGCAAATTATGAGATAAATTTTGCTCTTATATAACAGAACTAACACTGGCAGTCTGGTAAAGGATAAAAAGACAACAGCAGAAGCAGACAAAAATCTTGGCAACTGTCGTAATAAAATTACTGATCCATTGTCAACTTGCAAGAGCGGATCCAGTAATAAATTTTAGCGTTTAGTTTTTTTTTCCTCCATAATTGTTTTATTTTTCCAGGTGATGAGATTGTTGATAGGGGTTAGGGAGGCTTGGAGGTGAAAGAACTCGGCTAGCATCTCTTTTTTTTTTTATGGCGGTTATTTATTCACGGATTCTACGTTTTGTTTCCCTGGAGATTATCCGGATTTGAAATTCTCTAGAAGATTAGTGAATCATTCCGGTCCGTGATCGAGCTCGGATAGCCGGAGACGAGATGAGGTAGATTGTTTTTTGTCTTTTTTTTTGCTTGGCGTAAGAGGAGGCGTGAGTGTTTGGATTGGTAGGAAGAAACGAGAAAATGAATTCCAATGGAAATGGGTTTGGGAGTGCCGGTGCGGTGGCGGCGACTGAATATATAAGGAGACATCATCGACATGAGACTGGAGGGAATCATTGTAGTTCGGCTGTCGTCAAGCGAATCAAAGCTCCCGTTCCTCTCGTAATTCTCTTTCACTTTGATTATGTTTTGTGCGGATTTTGTTTTCAACTCATTCTTTCTGAAGAAAATTTCACTTCTCTCGCATATGCACATTTCTTTTCTGTCTTTGTGTGTGTGTGCGTGTGCGCGCTTTTTGATTTGTTTCCAAGACATGCTCTTTTTCCTATACTTCTACTGAATAAATAATTTTTTTATATCTTCTTGAATATTTTTGCATGTTTGTTGAGTGATATGTTTATGTATGTATTTCAGTAATCGATTTTTGTTCTCGAGAGGAATTAATCTTGATCTCTGGTGATTTCCTTTTAGTTGTTCTTTAAATCCTGATTATTTTTTTGAATTTGGTAAAAGAAAACAGAAAGAAAAATATTGAATCTAATTTTCTAAATTTTCCCTACTGGTTTAAGTTTTGTTAATGAGATGAAGAATCTCTTCTAAGGTTTCAAGGAAGATCATTTCGAAGTCTGACATGAAAATTTTTATTTTTTACTATTGAAACAGATATCTTGTTGTTAAGTTTAATGCATAGGATGAACTCAAAACATAGATGAAGTCATTTGTTTGTTTGAGTTTTTGAGTATGAATAAATCCTAAATTTGAGATCCATATTATCGAGTCTCTTTTTGTTAAAAGATTTTCACTCTCTTCACTATTCTCGGAAACCATTTCAACTAATTTGTGGTGTTTATCTTAAATGGTTTTGCAGGATAAATTCGTTTCCATGTGTTATGGTTGCTTTGTTTAGAAACAATGAGGTTTAGTTTTAATTGAACTAAATGTAATTTCTCTTATTGATTCTTGCATTTAGCCGAAATGGGAATGTCACAAAGCATATGCCCTGAACATTTTTTTTATTTCTTTCTCCATTTTGCACATATCAGATAAATGATTAGTAATTTAGAGGTCATCTGTACTGGAGGAAGAATATGATGAAAAATAAGGGGGAAGATATATTGCCTGTAGAAGATATATTTAGATCATATAGAAACAATGTATTCCTTCTCAGTTGTAGAGCTTGATGCTTATATTTTTGTGATTTTGTCATCTGTTACCTCGGTCCACTTTTTTTTTTTTCTCTGAAAGTTGTATTGGTTTTTTTTAAGTTTGGTCTTTGGTTAGGCGTTTTGATCAACCTCAGAAGTATAAACCCTTTATCAGCCGGTGTGTTGCGCAAGGTAACCTTGAGATTGGGAGCCTTAGAGAAGTTGATGTCAAGTCAGGGCTACCTGCAACTACAAGCACTGAAAGACTAGAACTTCTTGATGATGATGAGCATATCCTCAGCATCCGCATTATTGGTGGGGATCACAGACTTAAGGTAGGAATCCCTTTTCTTTTTCCTGATTTAACTTTTTTTATTCCCTCTATCTTTTATGGTCCATCCTTCCGGAAGATTGTAACATTTGTATGGTTCATGAAAATAAACGTCTAGATTTTGAGTTCATGAGTGATTTGTCAAGGTTGAAGTTCCCATTTTGTGCGTACCATGATATAAAACAAAGATTTGAGTAATGTTCTTATTTTATCAAACATTTCCCCCGTAAAATCCAGAACTACTCTTCAATCGTCTCCCTCCATCCAGAGATCATCGATGGAAGACCTGGGACTCTGGTCATTGAATCATTCGTGATGGACGTGCCTGAAGGAAACGCAAAGGATGAGACATGCTACTTTGTTGAAGCTTTGATCAAATGCAACCTCAAATCTCTTGCAGATGTTTCAGAAGGACTAGCGGTGCAGGACCGGACAGAACCCATTGATATTTGAAAGGCAGGGACTGGAGTTATAAGGTGGTGGCTATTGTTGCCATGGATGAAGATTCGGGGCTTTCGTATCATCGGAGGTTTGAGAGATAGACTGGCAATTGTAGGTCTTCCATCTTCTAGATACATTCACATTGCATTCCTTCTATTTGTTATTGTTCTCTCCTTTAATTTTAACATCATGTGCTGGATTTTCCGTCTTTATTCAATTAAAAAAAACCCCCACAAATATTATGAAGTTTGTTTTGTTGATGAAAAAAGAGGGGGACTTAGATGATTCCAAGTATTGTTATTGTGGGTATTCAATGGTTTGTATATAAGAAGGCTAGAAAGAGTTGGCATTTGGATTATCGGTTGTTTTGAGTTGCAGGATTGGTCCAAGTTTGGTGGGAAATGCTATTCTATAGTGACAGTTCATTTGCTTGATGCTACCACAATTACTGACATTTTCGTCGAAAGCATAGAAAGATTTAGATTTAAAATGCTGTTAGATCTGTCCTACGGATGGCAATTTGGATCGTGAATTTGGTTAGTATTCAATTTGTATTTTGTATATTCAGATAATATTCATATTTAGACCTTAAAATTACTATATGAAATTACAGAAATTGCAGATAAACACTCAAATATTCGTGATCTAAATTCATATTAAATATTTTGTATATTCAGATAATATTCATATTTAGTCGTTAAAATTATTATATGAATTTTAGATTAAAAACTAGTGGATATATGCATGAATCAACTTATCTCAGTGGTTAAAAGAATCGTTGTTGTTCTTAGAGGTCAAATATTCGAGCACCAACGGTTGCAACAGGGTGATTGAGCGTTCATTGTCAAATGGTTAAGAGTATTTTGAACATATATTACTTTGTAATCACATTAGTTTACTAAAAAATAGTGGATATATTTGAATCTAACAGATTTAGGTATTTAAGATATAATTTATGTCACACCCTGGATTTGGGATAGAAGTTCTAAAGTTACAATTGATTAAGTAAACTAAGGTTTAAGGGATGTAATTGAAATAAACGTGAACTTCAAAGACTTAATTGTATATGAATGATTTCAATAGAGATCAAATTGAATAAATTTAAAGTTAGAAAGTTATTCGTCATAAATAAAGACTAAAATAAATATCGAGGAAAATTTGGGGCAAAATTTTTGAACCTTTGGAAGTTCAAGATCACACATTCTAATTACCTCAAATCAAGTTATATAAATATCTTGTTAGAACTTTTAGAACCCAACTCTTTTGAACTGTCATATCCTCATCTCAAATCCATCGTCATTGCTTGTCATGATCTTCTGTAGGGGCAATTTTAGGTTGTCGTGTTGTCATTGTGTTTCTTCTCAGATCAACGTATTCTTTGTATCAAAATATCCATCTTAAAGTCTTCATTTAAGATTTGTTGTTAGTTTCACAAATCAAGGTCCGATACTTGATAGATCAAACAAAAATCGTGGGCTCCTCGTTGCCATTATCTTTGTCATTTCAGATATGGAGAATGGAGAGAGCTTGTTTGTATTTTGACGTTGCAGAGAGGCAACAAAGATCTTTCAATTCCTTTGGGTCTGTCTTCGATGGCAGAGATAGAGTTGTAGTACTTGTTAGATTTGTCTAGAAATTAAGTTGACAATTTGGAAATTTTATCTTGGTTGGTGGCCAACTTATTGGAAATTTTATCTTGGTTGGTGGCCAAACTTTAAACATGTGAATTTCATATTTGGTGGCTAACTTGTACACATTGGAAAATTCTTTTGTAGGTGGCCAAACTTTGAACATATTGTTCTTAAAACTCAACTATAAATAGGCCTAAGTATTTCCATTAGAAATCATCCCAAAAACAAGTTCTCTCTTCCTCTTGTATTATTCATTCTCCCACTTTGGGAATTCTAAAGAATTCCATTTGTTGTAATATTGGCGATATAGTGAAGTTATCATCCGGTGTGGTGCCCGAGGAGTAGACGATATTCTCGTCGAACCTCGTAAATTTGGTGTGTTCTCTCCTTTATTGTTTTCGTGTGGGAAATAACCCGTTTTCCCCAATAATTGGTATCAGAGCTTCGGTTGAGGTTATCCTGGTGATTACGTTGCTAAAAAGATACAGTTCATGATATTGAATATTTTTCGTTAGAATTAAAATGCCAAAATACGAATCAGTTGAGACATCAAGCTCTTCATCTGGACCGGTGAGGAGGGTGATGTCAAATGCAAATTTCTTGGTGGAGTTGTTCGATGGATCCGATCATTTTGGCATGTGGCAAGGCGAGGTGTTAGAAGCTTTATTCCAACAAGGTCTAGACATCGCCATTGAGGAAGAAAAGCCCGAATATATGGAGGAGAAAGAATGAGGAACAATCAATCGTTTGGCGTGCAGCACGATTCGATCTTGTCTTTCCAGGGAGCAGAAGTATGGCTACAAGAACGAGACTTCTGCAAGTAAGATGTGGAAAGCTTTGGAGGAAAAATTCCTGAAGAAAAGCTCTCAGAATCGTCTCCACATGAAGAAAAGATTGTTCAGATTTGATTATCAACCAGGCACCAGTAAAATGAACACATCACTGCGTTCAATGAGCTAGTGGAAGACTTATTGGGCATGGATGAAACCTTCAAAGATGAAGATTTGGCTTTGATGTTGTTGTCATCTCTTCCAGATGAATTTGAGCACCTTGAGACAACGTTACTTCATGGTAAGGATAATGTTACCCTTAAAGATGTAACTGCTGCTTTGTATAGTTATGAACTCAGGAAGAAAACCAAGAAAGAGAGCAAGTACGAAGCAGCGGAGGCCATAGTGGCAAGAGGTTGCTCGAAAAGTCAAAAGCCAAAGTTAAGAGGGAGATCAAAGTCGAAGTCCAGATTGGGAAAAGATGAATGTGCCTTTTGTCATGAGAAAGGCCATTGGAAGAAAGATTGTCCGAAGCTGAAGAAGAAAGGAAAATCTGCTCCAGATGAATGTGTTGTAGAGCATGATGCTCATGACTCTGACATATCATTGGTTGCTTCATCAACAACATTCCATTCCAATGAGTGGATATTAGATTCGGGTTGCACCTATCATATGTCCCCTAATCGGGAGTGGTTCTCCGATTTAGTGGAACTAAATACAGGAGTTGTTTATATAGGCAATGACAATGCCTGTAAAACTATTGGGATAGGTTCAATTCGATTGAAGAATCAAGATGGATCAACCAGAGTTCTGACGGATGTTCGATACGTGCCCAGTTTGAAGAAAAATCTCATCTCGTTGGGAGCCTTGGAATCCAAAGGATTAGTAGTCACTATGAGAGATGGAGTTTTAAAAGTCACATATGGCACACTTGTGATGATGAAGGGCATCAGGAAAAATAATTTGTATTACTACCAAGGTAGTACAATTATTGGAGCAGTTGCAGCAGCTTCCGGAGGTGATGATTTGGACGCAACCCAATTGTGGCATATGCGGTTGGGACATGCTGGAGAGAAATCCTTGCAAATTCTGGCAAAGAAAGGATTGTTGAAAGGTACAAAGGCTTGCAAATTGAACTTTTGCGAGCATCGTGTTCTGGGAAAGCAGAAGAGAGTAAATTTTGGCACCACTATACATAATACAAAAGGTATTGTAGATTATATTCACTCATATGTATGGGGTCCTTCAAAGACATCGTCTTTGGGAGGAAACCATTATTTTGTAACTTTTGTAGATGACTTTTCCAGAAGAGTGAGGGGAATATAAAAGTGACCCATTCTTTGACGTTTGCCATGAGTATGGTATTGTTCGACACTATTAGACATACACCACAACAGAATGGGGTGACAGAGCATATGAATCGAACACTATTAGAGAAAGTTCGATGTATGTTGTCTAATGCTGGGTTAGGCAAGGCATTTTGGGTTGAGGCTGTGACATATGCTGGCCATCTCATCAGTCGTCTGCCGTCATCAGCGATAGGAGGAAAAACACCATTGGAGGCATGGTCTGGAAAACCTGCTACTGATTACGATTCCTTACATGTATTTGGATCCACTGCTTATTATCATGTGAAGGAATCCAAGATTGATCCGAGAGCAAAGAAGGCTCTCTTTATGGGAATCACCCATGGAGTGAAGGGATTCCGCCTTTGGTGTTTGGACACCAAGAAGATAATTTGTAGCAGAGATGTTACCTTTGATGAATCTGCCCTAGTAAAGAAAGGTAACAAGTGAAGCTGTCCAAACAAGTAGTACTCCGCAACAGCTGGAGCATACTCCAAAACAGGTGGAGTTTCAGCAGACGATGATCCAGAAGTTGATGCAGTTGATTCTTCAACTCCAATAGAACAATCAGAAGATGAAGAGGTTCAAACCCAAGAACCATTGGAGACACCAGAACCACTTGCAGTTACAAGGCCAAGGAGAGAAATTTGTAGACCTGTTCGATTTGTTGATATGGTGGCCTATGCTCTTCCAGTTGTTGATGATGATATCCTTATCACTTACCAAGAAGCAATACAAAGCAATGGTGTGTATGCGTCCTGATATTTCATAAGAAGTTGGAGTTGTGAGCAGGTACATGCATGATCCTGGAGAATGACATTGGCAAGCTATGAAATGGATTCTACGGTATCTCCAATAAACCGTGGATGTTGGTTTAGTTTTTGAACAGGATGAAGCACTTGGTCAGTGTGTGGTTGGATATGCTGATTCCGATTATGCTGGTGATTTGAATAAGTGTCGATCAACTACTGGGTATTTGTTTACTCTTGCTAAAGCCCCAATAAGTTGGAAGTCTACATTGCAATCTACGGTGGCCTTGTCTACTACAGAGGCAGAATACATGGCAGTTTTAGAGGCTGTAAAGAAAGCAATTTGGCTTAACGGGTTGATAGAAGACTTAGTTGTTCAAAGTCACATTAGTCTCTATTGTGACAGTCAGATTGCTATTCACTTAGCGAAAAATCAAGTCTATCATTCAAGGACTAAGCATATCGACGTGAGGTATCACTTTGTGCGGGAGATCTTTGAAGAAGGAAAGATTCTACTTCAAAAAATTGCGACATCAGAAAATCATGCAGATATGATGACCAATGTGGTAATAGTAATCAAATTCAATCATTGTTTGAACTTGATTAACATCATGAAAGTATGAACACCTTCGGGTGTGTGGCGCTTGTGAGCGCAATTAGAGGCACTACAAATTTGGGGAGTTGAAGAAGTTGAATAGGCTTGGTAATTTCAAGCCAAGGTGGAGATTTGTTAGATTTGTCTAGAAATTAAGTTGACAAGTTGGAAATTTCATCTTGGTTGGTGGCCAACTTATTGGAAATTTCATCTTGGTTGGTGGCCAAACTTTGAACATGTGAATTTCATATT